TCAGCACCTGACAGCCTGCGGTCCCGGGTGGCGCCCGTTAAGGAAGGATGGAGGGAAGGTCCAAGCACAGAGGCTTTAATGACCAGGCGGGGGCAGGGGTGGGGGAGCGGGGGTAGGAAGGGCGGGTCGCAGGCCCTCCACGGCCTGGCCTCAGAGCGTGTGGAGGTCCTGGGCCCGCCGGCTCAGCTTCTCGGGGTCGTCGGATGCCATCAGTGAGAAGTCTCGGAAGATGTCCAGATACGTCTCGTCTCCTGGGGGGAGGGAGGGAGGGTTGGGAGCCCCGAAGGCTGGGCCCCCAGCTCAGGAGCGTCTGCTGGGGACGGTGGGGCGTCCCGGTAAGAGCGTGGCTGGAGGAAACACCTGAGCCAACAGGGCACAGCTCTTGCCTTTTTTTCCCCTCTGTTCTGAGGCCTGGTGTGTCCCATACGCCCAACACAGATTTGTTGAATAATAGACGTAATCAATGAAGCTGGTCACCAGGGGCCAGAAGCCCAGAGTTAGATGAAGAGCCTGATGGGGCTGGGCTGGGGGGCACTTTACCTGCCTGGCCCTGCGCTGCTTCTGCCTCTCTCATCTTTGCCAATCGAAGCCTAAGGAGGAGAGAATTAAAGAATGAACGACAGTCCTTCCCCCCACCCCCAACTTCCCATCCACTGAGCTGGGTTGTTTATTCATCTGTTTGCCCAGGGTCTAGTCTAGTCCTTAAAAGATGCCTGACAGCAATGTTGACAAATAATGACTCTCAGGATGAGCTCACCGTCCTTGGACCCTGCCCACACCCTTGCTATTGCTACTCCGTTTCCATTAACACTTGGGAGCATCCTGTCTGCTGCCACTCCCCTCCCCAGGCATCTCTGGCATCGAGGTCTGGGACTTAGCCACTCCCATGTGAAAGGTGCTGGTCCTGCCCCTTCAGGCATCCTCACAGGGTGACGATGTCGGCATTGGCTGTTTCCATGGCGATGGTCAGAGGGTCCCTGCCTTCAGAGTCCTGAGCTCCCAGGTCAGCTCCCCGTTTCAGGAACAGGCAGGCCAGTCTAGAGAGGAGAGCCAGGTTTAGCAGCGGCTCCTCCCGTCCGGAACCTTCCTCCCCAAGGCCATCATCGCTGTCTGCTACCCAGTGTGGCCAAGGATGGTTGCGTGGTGGAGTGGGCCTCGGCCGCGGCTGTCTGCTTGGTTCACGTTCGCCCCATTCTGGAGGAGAAACTCACAGGCCAGAAGAGAATTCTGCATTGAGAAGCAGAGAAAGGGAGAGAGGGTGGCATCTTTAGAGGCAGATTTAAAGATTCATGCAGTTCAGAGGGCAGGGTGTGGGGTCAGGAGTTTAGGGGTACCACTAAGTGTCAGGCTCGGCTCTAGCTCTTTACATGTATCAATACATTACATCCACAGTACAACCTAGTGAGGTACGGGA